CTCCTTCCTTTATAATCTGTTATGCACTTAATGCCCCTCCACATGCTCCGAGGGTCTTGTGAGATGAATTGACCCTGAAGGTGTGGGCCTAAAAATAACAGCTGAACAGTAAGAAAATAGAAAAGATTTCTGAAGAAATTCTGAAGGATGCCCGTGAAATTACCACCTGAAAGGCCAACATAGGTTTACTCGCTATTTTTTCGTACCACATATCCAGCCAAATCTGATAGAGACCTGACAAATAAATACCTGTGTTGTGGCAAACGCTGAAAAGTAACGCAAACTGGTTTTAAAAACGCAGTTTTTGTGACGATTTCAAGCCGTTTCAGTCGTGGCTTTGGAAATATATGGAGTGTGACATCACACCAAGGATCCAATCATGTGAGACCATCAGAGCTCAAGGCTGGAGGCAGCAGCAAAGACATGCGGTCAGACACCCCCCCCCCCCCCCCCCGTGACTGATGCTGCCCACAGTTATTTGTCAAGCTCCAAAAAGTCTACAGGAAGAAGAAAAAGACAGAAGCTGAAGAAAGTTCAGCAGTGATAGAGACGAAGAGAGAGGGAGTATTGAGATTTGTGATATTTAACGTTTGTATTTTAAAGTTCAGCTGTATTGTGGTGGATTTACTGTTTCAGTCAGTTTTAGTGTTTTCAGTCAAACCAGCCTCTAGAGAGCACAAACCAGTGTATTGCTTGTGCTGGTCCCAAGCCCAGGTAAACGGTGAGGGTTGTGTCAGAAAGGACATCAGACGTAAAACACTTTTGCCAAAACTATAACATGAGCTCATCAAAGCGAAACCATACCGGATCGGTCGAGGACCCGGTTAACAACGACCGGCCGCCACCGGTGCTGTTGACAAACAAGGTGCCGGTGGAAATTGCGCTACTGTTAGTGGAAGACCACGGAGGATGCAGAGGGCAGAGTGAGATGGAGGATGACTCACTGTGGCGACCCCTGAAGAGGGAAAAGCCGAAAGAAGTTTTAGTGTTTGAGTCGGAACAATGAGTCCATTTTGAACACCAAGCTGCAGCTTCTAGCCACTTTGCCATTGATGAGTGAAACTCCACTCGGTTCTCATCTTCTCGTTCCTTCTCAGGTGGAGGTGATTTACAACTGTGACTTGTTTCCTGTTCTGTGGTGGGATCGTAACAGGTCATTGTGTTCGAGCCACTCTGCCTGTTGTAGCCCTTAGTCGTCCTATAATCAGACTTCAGTTTCTTTAGCTTATCTTGGAACTGCTTGTAAGTCTGAGTGTAGCCATGCTGCCATCATCTCTGATTTCTCTGTAAATGTACTCGTTTCTTGTGGCGTGGTCCAGCTCACACCGAATCCTAACATCGGCCAATAAAGTTACGGTCTGTACCTCATCACTGGTCCACAGCAGTATTTGTGGAGCTTCCATACCAGAAACTAGCAAAAACAGCACAACCCGATCAGAGAGGAAGTGGAGGTTCAGATGTAGTTTGCAGGTCATCCAGTGACGTAGCTCCACTGGCCAGTCAACAGCTGCTGTCTGCTTATGTTAAAATCATCACCTCGGAGCAGTTTGCTTGGAACTATGAACAAGGTGGTCCCATAAACTGGGCTGAGTGGTGGTGGGTACCGGTGGTGGGCAGGCCCTTAACTGGTGCAGTGTGGTGCAGAACTGTTGAGACTGTGTCAAAGTGCCATCTGTTTGAGGTGGGGGGTGGGTCCCCAGACCCAGAAATGAATGGAGCTGCAAAGTCAGAACTTTTCAAATGCAAAAGGCAGAGACGAAAAAGAAAAACAGTCTGAGACAGAGTGAGAACTTTGACAAGGAAGTGGAAGATTTGTTTTAGCAGAGGAAAGAGAGGAGGTGCGTACTGAGCGCCACACTCCTGCCTGTGCCCGATCCCTGGCATGATGTCATCAGCCTTCGGTAATCATCGGCCATGTGCTCGGGTGTTTCCTTTGGTTTGTTTGTTTTAACACTTGTGTGGCATGAATGCACAAAAACATAAAACTACTGTAATCAAATACTCAGATAAATAAATAAATAAAATAATCAAACCAAATACTTCTTTAAAACGTCTTCAGTTGATCCAAAATACTGCTGCCAGTCTTAACTGGAGTTAGTGGGAGAGATCATATTTCTCCAGTTTTAGCTTCTCTCCATTGGCTCCCTGTCAAATCCAGAATTGAATTCAAAATCTTACTTCTAACCTACAAAGCTCTCAACAACCTAGCTCCATCTTATATTACAGATCTTATTGTTCCATATTTTCCTAACAGAGCACTTTGCTCTCAGACTGCAGGTTTACTTGTGGTTCCTAGAGTTTCCAAAAGCAGAATGGGAGGCAGATCTTTTAGTTATCAGGCTCCTCTCTTCCAGTTTCTGTCCATGAGGCTGACACATTGTCCAGTTTCAAGACTGGACTTAAGACTTTCCTTTTTGATAAATCCTATAGTTAGGGTTGGCTTGTTATGCTGCTATAGACTTAGACTACTGGATGACAAATTGATCTCATTTCCTTAAATGAATTGTTAAAATTGAATAGTTTCATTTGATACAATTTCTATCTAAACGTAATTCTTGACCTGCCATTGTGTATCTGTTCCTCTCAAACCCAGCCGGTCGAAGCAGATGGCCGTTTGTCCTGAGCCTGTTCTGCTAAAGGTTTCTTCCTCATGAGAGTTTTTCCTTTCCACTGTCACCTTCATGCTTGCTCAAGATGAGAGTCTGCGATGGAGTTGAACTCAAAGCAGTCTGCTCCTCAGATAAATAATGTTAAATCAGTATTTTTATATATGAATGTTTCTGTTCAGTGCCCGAGACGACTTCTGTTGTGACTTGGAGCTTTATAAATAAACTGAACTGAATCTACGGCAGAGCACTTGGGACTACAATGGTTGGTGTTGGACTTTAAAACCCAACAGGTTGTATAAGTTGTGTAAAAAGAGCCAAGATCAAAATAAATGTTAAAGCTGCTGCCAGTGGTTCATTACGGTCACCATGGTAACCACACACCTGTGTCTCTCACCCCTGACAGACAAAAATGCTGAGCAGAAAATAGGCCTCAAACATTCACTGTGCAAAAACTAAACATTGCATTGAAAAATGTCCAGAACCCTCTCTGAGCTGTAGAACTCCACAGAGGGTTTGGTTCCCCCACGTGTTGCCAAAGCTCCATAGTTTGTGTATGAAGTGTATCAAGCTTTTGCAGTTATTTATTTATTTGCCCATTTTGTCAGTGCTGTGCAATACATGTGCTACTGACTGAGCCGCACGTTTTATTCTATAATTTAAGCTGTGAGAGGAGTAACAACTCAAGTGTTGTGACTGAAATAAAAAAAACATCAGCCAAGTAGTGATACGTGAGCTACAATGCTTACATGATGGTATCTTCACAAATTTAAAAGTTTAAGCCAATCTGCAAAGCTGCTAAAATATGATTGTTTTGAACAGTTAATCTGCTCATTTCAGATTCTTCAAAAACTGGGAACATAAACCAAATGTACAGCTGTTGATAGGACTATAGAAAAATATAAACGTCTTGGATTTTTAACTTTGTAAATTAGTTTATTATTCAAGCATCAGGCACCTCCTAAAAGCACAGTAGTAGTGTTTGTGTAGTTTCACAGCAGTGGTTAGAAACTCATAGTTCATGTTGTTGGTGGATGGTCTGAACATGGTCAGACTGTGTTTGGGCTCCAGGTGACTGCTCAGCAGCCAGTCCTCAGCCCTGCCTGCCTCCTCTTTAGGTCCCCTCATGTCCAGCAGTAGTCCAGACTACTCCTGGGGCCCTGGGGCTTTCATGGCCATGCTGGCTCCAACCATGGCTGGGTAACTCCGGTTCCTCCTCATTCCATCCGGCCCAAAAGGAGAGCCAGACCTGTGCAGGCCACCTAAAGGCCCCAGGATGGGACCTGAACTCCCAGCCCTGCCCCTTGGAGCTCCAGCCACACCCAGCCGCTTCACCTTGTCCAGCAGGTTGAGGTTGTGGATGGTCACGCTAACGTCTGTTTGGCTTTCGCAGTCCCTCCCTCTCTGTCTGCCTCTCATCCTCGTCACTTCCTTCAGAATGGAGCGCGCTGGTTTGGAGGCCAGGAAGTTGTCATAGGACGGGCTCTTGAAGTCGAAGCCTGCGGAGGTTGGCACAGCTGAGGCTCCTGGCCTTGTGGGAGAGTTTGGAGGTGTAGGTGGGCGCAGAGGGTCAGGATGGGATAGGTTTGGGGCTATGGAGGTGCTGAGCAGGACTCCTCCACTGCCTTGATTGTGTTCGAGGCCCTGGCTGTGGTGATACATGGCTGCTGAGATACCTCTCTCCTGGAGGAGGCGCACTAACCCCAGGGAGGTGCTGGTGGTGCGTGTTCCATCTCTACACAGGCACAAGTCAACAATGAGTCAAAAACATTCATCTTTTACCATTAAATCTGTTTTTCATGTTGCAGCTAATTTTTGTGTTAAATGTGACCAGGCTAGCAGATGTGAGGAAGAACGTGGCAGTTCATTTAACTCGTTTCTTTAATGTTGAGGATAATTTGAGATCAGTCTGTGTGGGGTCTTGCCTGAGGTTGGTTGAGGACTCAGAGGGCCTGAGACTGAGCCTGCGAGGCGTGCACGGAGTCGCAGCAGGAGTACCCAACAGACTGCTGGTCATTACACAGGAGGACGACGCAGGGACTGGGTTTAAACTGGAAACAACAAGAATCAGAACACGTTGCCAAACGTGCAGCATAGTCAACACTTGAGTGTTGGGGTTTTATTGGCACTAAAATGCCTAAAGTGCAGCTGAGTTGCTCTGAATTGTAACGATCTGCATGGATTACTCAACAACTGTCCTGTCTAACAGAAACCAAACTAAATGTTGGCCTCTCCGAGTGAAATCAAATTCAACAACATATTTTATTAGTCAGTTCAGTTACATTATACACTTTAAAATAAAGATCTCATTAAAGGCAAAATCTAAAGAGATACTGATGAATTGTGTCAGTTGTATTCAGTGACCAGGAGCGTCACTGAGTTGCAGCAGTTACCTGGGCGTGACCCGTGTCTGCTCATCTGTTGGGTGGAGGATCCGGCAGGTTGTAAAGGTGTAGGTGGAGCTGGTGTGGGCCATGCATTTACCAGGGAAGTACGCAGCTTAAAGTACCACAAACCAAAAGAGGTTAAACATTTTCAAGAGAGGTGAGGTACTTTAGGTGTTCAAACTGTTTTAAACTCAAACTATACTTTGATGAGTAAATATGTGGACTGGGCTACATCCAGCATACATCCCTCACATGGATGGATGAATGGGTGGATGGATGAAGGAAGGAAGGAAGGAACAAAGGGAGGAAAGGAGGGAGGAAAGAAGACAGGAAAAAAGGAAGGAAGGAAGGAAAGAAGGGAGGGAGGGAGGGAGGGATGGAAGGAGGGAGGAAGGTAGTTAGGCAATAATGGATGGATGAATGTAAGGATGGATGATGGATAGATGATGATTGATGGATGTTTGGATGATTGATGGATGGATGATGGATGGATGTTTGAATGATTGTTGGATGAATTCATGATGGATGGATGATTGATGGATAATTGATGAATGAATGATGGATGGATGGAGGATGGAAAATTGATAAATGGATGGATGGATGTTGGATGATGGATGGATGGATGATGTATGTATGTTTGGATGATTGATGGATGAATTCATGATGGATGGATGATTGATGGATA